GGTGGCCGGTTGGGGAGACCGGAGGCCCCCCTCCGCCCCGAAGCCGGGAAGTTGCCGGGGCTGGAGAGTTTCCTGCCCCGACGTGCGGGTTGTTTCTCGGTTGTGCCTCGGTTTCCGCAAAGACGCCCCAGAGGAACAGAGTTGGTATTGTCTGCCGGAGCATGGGATCCCCGCCGACCCGAGTCTGGAAGGGGGCGCCGGCCAAGTAGAGACCCCAAGATGAGAACCAGGCTCCTAACAAAGATCCCACCCGCCCCCCAACCCCCCCAAACTGTGCAAGCCTGGCACCCGCGGGGAATGTCTCCAGAGACCCCCGAGGCCCGACCCCTCCTCAGCCCACGTCTAGAAGCCCTTCTTGGGCTCTCCGGACGAGTTGGGGGGGACGGCGGGCTTTTATTGATTTGTTTTTAAGGCTCACCGCTGTGCGGCCAATAAAAGGTTTATGACATCTGACCGGCAGTGAAGGTATGCGAGCTCCGGATTGCCCTGAATTCGCGGAGAAGAGCAGTTTCCTCGTTGCTGGGCAACGCCGCTGATTGACACGGGACGCGGCCAATCGCTGCTCCCGCTGGTCCCCTTGAAATGTTTTTGACAAGTACAGTAGACTGAGCGGCGCGCGTGCGTGTGTGCGCGCGTGCGCGCACGGAGTGGGGCGGTCCCGCGCCCCCCACAAACTACACTGCCCAGCTCCGCTTGGGGAGCATTTCTCAACTTTTTAAAGTTCACATCGAACATCTGCTCAGAGCTGGGCCATAATGTCTTTGTCAGTTGTTTAGGGACATTCAGATTAGTAACCTAGAGATTAAGCTTTTCCTGCTCCATTTTCTCCATTAAAATAACAACTCTGCAATTCATTAAAAAAAAAAAAAAGGGAGGGTGTGTGTGTTGAGAACATTTCCAATAACGAACCCAAAAGTTGTAAAGAGGTCACCAAGTGAGTAACTATTTGCGTATCTGGTAGAGCAACTTCATTGGCATCAGATTAAAATGCTTGCCTAACTGTAGGGTCACATGATTCAGACATCTACCCCCCCCCCCCCCCAAAAAAAAAAAAACGAGGAAGAAAAGATTTGGCGAACATGTAGCTAGAGTGAAATAATGGAAAACTCCTCAGCAGTGGCTTCTGGAAACTGTTTCTTTTTCTTTCTTTCTTTTTGACATGGAACTATAGTAATCTGCTATGGACTACAGTGTTACTTTAAAACACAAGATTTATCGGGAGGGGAATGATCCCAAGTTATGCATAACCCCTCTTTTTCTGGATAGGGCTGTTTTTCTGTTAAAATCACATTGCCAGCAGTATTTGTTTAAAACAAAAGAAAACATGGAGAATAGCATGTTAGTTCCTTTGGGAAGCTACCGACAAATAAGCAAATTAAAAAGAAAGAGAGCAGCATGTTGTCATAGCAACAATGCAATTAAATTACTGTCAGCCATGATACAATTTTCCTGTTTGGAAGCACTGGAGACATATAACTTTCATTTGGAGCTAAAGTTGACTTCAGTGTCTAGGTGGTTCTCATTTATACTCTGTGGTACGGATAGACTCATAATCAGAACATTTTTCTGAAGGGATCTGAGTAACTTTGAAGCAAGCTTACTTTTATTCATTTATAAAGAAGTTAAGAGCCATATCAGGCTATATACTCTGTCGTGTCCCCAAACCTAAAGATGCAAGCTTATTTTATTCTTAAACATGGACTGTTCTGCCTGGGTTGGACTATGTTGCCTTCCAAGCTGGTTGCTTATCTACCTCTGCTTATCTGTGTGTGTGTGTGTGTGTGTGTGTGTGTGTGTGTGTGTGTTGAGAGAGAGAGAGGAGAAGAGAGGATGTTGTGTGAGTAGCAGTGAGTGTCAGTGTGTCAGTGTCAGTACTGGGGCTTAAACTCAAGGCCTGGGCACTGCCTCTTAGCTTTTTATTTTGCACTCTGCATCTTGAGCCACACCTCCGCTTCCAGCCTTTGGTGGATAATTGGAGATAAGAGTCTCATGGACTTTCCTGCTTGGGCTAGCTTGAAACCATGATCCTCAGAACTCAGGCTCCTGAGTAGCTAGGATTACAGGTGTGAGTTACCTGCACCTGAGACTTTATCTGCCTTAGGGTGAAGGATGGTGCTACAACCAACTGACATCCTTAGCTGATGAGTTGGTACCCACTTTATTCTTTTCCAGAATTCCATTCTAGAACTTTCTGCATGGAAGTAACAGTTATTACTGTAAATGGATATGTAGAGGCTTAGAATAATCATGTTTGCCTTTCATGTTTCGTTCATTTTTTTAGGTAGATATCTTGATCTTCTTTGAGGGAGAGGAAAACCCCAAGGCAGACAATCTTTTTATAAGCTAAGCCAAGCCCATTGGTTTAGCTCTGCAGAGTGGACAACTGTCCATCTTGCATTGAGTGCTAGATCTGAGAGTGGGAAAGCTTACTATATGTAGGGACCATTCTGTTTGTGGAGCTGCCGCCGCCTCACTCTCCTTTCTCATCAGATATTCTTTTACTGTCTGTTCTAGGTCATTGATAAAAATGAGGATGTGTGTGGTGGAGAGGGTAGAATTCTGTAACACTTTTTGTTGAGCTTGTTTTCCTGTTTTGATCAGGAGAGCAACTTTCTTCCTACCAATTCTAATTTTAGTTGTTTATCTTTCATTCCCATTTATTTGTTGAGTGCATGAAATTACTTGTAGGTGCAGTCTGCCTAATGAAATTTAATGTATTTCTCAAGTTGAAATACATAGAATTTCTGTCACCCTTTTTAAACTTGAAGATGAAATTTAAGTTGCAGTTTTTGAACACGAGTTTTTGTGCCTTTGATCATATAAAATATTATTTTTTGAAATGAATTCCAGGAAATGGAAGTGAGGTTTTTTTAAAAAAAAGTTTTATTTGGTCTTGTTTGTTCATTTCTCTCTCTTTGGGAGGAGGAGGGGCACAAAGGGTGTGACAAAGGGTGAACAAATGTAGCAGTAGTACTCTGCACACTACACTAAAAATGAACTATATAACTTGTTGGTGGGGATGGGAGAGAAAAACTGGGAGAAAAGAAAGGGTGACATTGTCCAAGAAAGTAATGTACCGTTGCCTGACTTAGGAACCTGTAATTGCGCTATATCACCTTTATTATATATATATATAGGTCGGTCATGGGGACCAAACTCAGGGCCTGGGCTCTGTCCCTCAGTTCTTCAGCTCAAGGCTAGCACCCTACCACTTTTGAGCCACAGCGCCACTTCCAGCTTTTTTTCTGCTTATGTGGTACTGAGGAATCGAACCCAAGGGCTTATGCATGCAAGGCAAGCACTCTACCACAGAGCCACCTTCCCAGCCCTATAATAACAATTTTTTTTAAAAGCCAGGTGTTGATTTCTCACACCTGTAATTCTAACTGCTCAGGAGGCTGAGATCTGAGGATAGTGGTTCAAAGCCAGCTGGGCCAGGAAAATTGGTGAGACTCTCATCTCCAATTAACCACCAGGAAACCGGAAGTGGTTCTGTGGCTCAAGGTGGTAGAATGTTAGCTGTCGACAGAAAGTTTGCACGGGAACAGTACCCAGGCCCTGAGTTCAAGCCCTGTGACTCACCAAAAAACAAGACAAGACAAAACAAAACCAAGCAGGCACTGGTGGCTTAGGTCTATAATCCTAACTACTCAGGAGGATGAAATCTGAGGATGGAGGTATTTAAATCCATAAGACTCTTATCTCCAATTAGTCAGTGCTATCCTTCATTAGAAAAAGCTAAGGGGATAGTACCTAGGCCCTGAATTGAAGCATCAGTACCAACACACACATACACACACTGGCAAGAAACAACCAAATAAATCAGTGGTATTTATGGCTACAGTTTTAAATTTCGAGGCCTTTATGATGGTCTTCATTTATGGAGATGGCTGAAAGTAATCTGAAATAATTGGCCTTCCCTCCCTCCCTCTCTCCCTCCCTTCTTTCCTTCCTTTCTGTTTTGATGGGAGAGTCAGTACCAGAGCTAAAAACTCAGGGCCTCACACTCAAATATTTTTGCTTAGAGCTATCACTTTGCCACTTTAGCCATGCCTTTATTTCTGGCTTTTGGCTGATTAATTGGAGATAAGAGTCTCAGCTCTCAGCCTCTTGAATAGCTAGGAGTACAATCCTGAGCTGGTGCATTTGGAAAAAAAAAATTGAGACAGGGACTTAGGCTGTCTTGAGACTTCCTGTGTAGCCCAGGTAGACCTTAAATTCAAAATCTTCCTGTCTTGGCCTCTCAAGTGTTTGGATTAGAGGTACACACCACCATTGCTGGCTAGTATATTCTTTTATTGCGAAGGATAAAAAACTGAGATGTGTAACAGAGCCAAAGGAGTTGTTTTGTATTGCATATATATTTTGCTGTTTATCATGAACCTTTAGAGAATTGTAAAGGTTATGTATTTGCATATAATGAATCTAAAGCAAGAGGAATAATTGATTTTCCCTGGTCACAGAGAGGAGCCATTGTGAAACTGCTAATTCTTCTCATGACATACCTGTACATGAAAGGTGCTGCATGCATGCATGTATGTATGTATGTATGTATGTATTTAATTTTTGTTCCAGTCCTGTGGCTTGAATTTGAGGCCTGGGCACTGTTCCTTCCTGAGCTGCTCTTTACTCAAGGCTAATGCTGAGCCACAGCTCCACTTCTGGCTTTTTCTGGGTAGTTTATATTAGAGATAAGAGTCTCACAGACTTTCCTACCTGGGCTGGCTTCGAACTGCAATCCTCAGATCTCAGCCTCCCAAGTAGCTAGGCTTACAGGCATGAGCCACTGGCGCCTGGCTGTCTTGTTTAAAGGAACATCAGGGCACTGTACCCTGTGCCTAAGTGGACTAAATTTTTTCTTGTGAATCGCTAGGTGGTTGGATTGTGAGCTTTCCTGGGTTCCTAGGTAGCTGAGGAGGCTGAGGGAATTAGGAGCCCTCCTAGCTGCCTTTTTCTGTGTTGGTTCACTTGTTCCTCATTTCTTCCCGTCTCTTTCCCAGGAGCCTTCACATAAATGGGTCCAGTCATGCCTGCCAGTAAGAAGCCGGAAAGCTCAGGAATCAGTGTGTCTAGTGGACTGAGTCAGTGTTACCGGGGTAGCAGTTTCTCCAAGGCCCTTCAGGAAGACGATGACCTTGACTTTTCTCTGCCTGACATCAGACTAGAAGAGGGGACCATGGAAGATGAGGAGCTCACAAACCTGAACTGGTTGCACGAGAGCAAGAACTTACTGAAGAGTTTCGGGGAGCCGGTCCTCAGGAGTGTCAGCCCCGTCCAGGACTTGGACGATGACACCCCTCCATCTCCCGCCCACTCTGACATGCCCTACGATGCCAGGCAGAACCCCAACTGCAAGCCCCCTTACTCCTTCAGCTGCCTCATATTTATGGCCATTGAGGACTCGCCAGCCAAGCGTCTGCCAGTGAAAGATATCTACAACTGGATCTTGGAACATTTCCCGTATTTTGCAAATGCACCGACTGGGTGGAAAAACTCAGTGAGACATAATTTGTCATTGAATAAGTGTTTTAAAAAAGTGGACAAAGAGAGGAGTCAGGTAAGCCCTTTTGTGTCTGCAACTGAATGGATTGGTGTTGGTGTTGGTGTTACAATTTAAGAGCTTTCTGCATTAAAACGGAAGCAGCGGTGACAAATGGATTTCGTTCTATTTATTAGCAGTGAACAACTTCTGTATTCAGCTTGCCCTCTTGGAGTTTGTGTCTGTTGAGGGGGGTCCCATCATTACACAACAGTGGTTGGCGGGTCCAATTTGTTCCCACGGTTGTTCAGCTCACTTTGGTGTTGCATCTTGCTGGGTGCTAGAGGCTCCCACTTGTAATTCTAACCATTCAGGAGGGTTAAAATCTGAGGATTGGAGCTCAAAGCATAAAAGTTTGAGTTTTTTTTTTTTTTTTTTTGTCAGTCCTGGGGCTTGAACTCTGGAAGTGGGCACTGTCCCTGAGGTGCTTTTGCTCAAGGCTGGTGTACCCTACCACTTGAGCCACAGTGCCACTTCCTGCTTTTTCTGTTTATGTGGTACTGAGGGATGGAACCCAGGGCTTCATGCATACTAGACAAGCACTCTACAACTAAGCCACGTTCTCAGCCCCAAGACTTCTTATTTCTAGTTAACCAGCAAAACACAAGAAGTGGAGATGGGGGAGGAGGGGCTCAAGTGGTAAGAGTACCAACCTTGAGTGAAAAAAAGCTAACAGGCAGTGACTATGATCTTGAGTTCAAGCCCCAGAACTGGCACAAAAGAAGGTTGAAGTTTTGACCATAAAGGTTGAGCTCTGCCCATTGTTATTGGCTGAGAGAAGACAATGTTCACATTTTGCTTTTAAGGCATGTAAAGAGGTGCCCTGGAGCTGGGATCTGCCAAACTAGAAAGCAGAACTGTGATGTCACAGAGTTAAAAATCCTTGCCAGGAAAAGTTCCCTCTACTGAGTTTTCTGTTCCTGTGTCTGTTCCTCTGCCTTTCCTCTTAAGGCTGCTGCTGTGTGTGGCTGGGGGTTTGGGGGAGTCTGTCTGCTTTTTGGCTTGTTGATGTTCAGGTTTGGACTAAAAATACTATTCAGAATGGGTCCAGGAGGGTTGGACTCGTTTATTTCTTTCTGTTCAAAAATCCCTTTCTCGTAGGGCGCCTGGTGACCCACGCCTGTAAACCTAGCTACCCAGGGAGGCTGAGATTTGAGAATTACTGTTTGAGGCCAACACTGGCAGGAAAGTCTGTGAGACTCTTATCTCCACTATCAGAAAAGCTGGAAATGGAGCTATGGCTCAAGTGGTAGAGCACTAGCCTTGAACAAAAGAAGTTCAAGGACATCACCAGGGACCTGAGTTCAAGCCCCAGGACCCATACAGACACATACATTAAAAATACCTTCCTCAGTACCCAAGAATATTCTAGCTGTCTTTGACATGGAAGAAGAGGAAGAAGAAGTGGAGTGGCTGTGTTTCTTCAAACGGGTCATGTTTGTCCATAATGCTGTCTGTAAATCAAAGTTTGAAAATGGGGAAATGAAGAGAGGGCGCAGGAGCCACGGTACCAGGAAAGAGGAAAGTTATGACCACCCGGAAGTCTTGACTTTGATCACTGGTGTGGGTGGTGCCTGGTTGGAGATAGCAGATATGAATATTCATGAGTCTGCTGTGCCCTTCCTTTCCCAGGTCCTTGTGTAGATGTTAAGGTGTACCTCTGTCAGTGAGGGGGAGAGTTGTGCATCAGGAGAGCCCTCTGTTGACCCCAGCCACTCAGGTCCCCCCTTTTCTCAGATGAGGGCATTTGGAGAGAAACCTGTGGATTTGGCTCTGAGTGCTTTTACGATCATTCTAGAACCATTGAAGAGATTCACTCTTGTAAAGTACTAGGTTGTAGTATTAACTGCTTCTGTATAGGCTGGTCCTTGAGGAAAGAAATGGAAGCAGTTGTAGACTTAGAATGTAGAGGAGGAGGAAGAGGGCTGGTCAGGACCCCCCCTTCTCCTTTTCCCCCTCAAAAGCGGCCTGTCACTGGTAAAGCCACAAAGCAAGGCTTGTAGTTTGGAGTAAACGGTTCTGCAAGCCACAGCATGCCTGTGTCTCTGGGTTTGACATAAAGCTGGTGCATATAAAAGTAATTTAGCAAATGCACACTCTGAAATGTTAAAGACAAGACCAACTCAGAAGGGGGCAGGGGGATTATTCACCACCCAGCCTTGGCTCACCTGGAGAAGCTCTCTCTGCCCTACCCCTCCCGTGTCCCGCCTGCATTGCATTCTGGGAGTCATGTTGGAAGGGTGCTTGTGTCAATCTGGGCAAACCCTGATACTGTCAGTGTGGAAAGGGAGTGTGGAAAGGGAGTGGCTTTATATTTTTGGACTTGAGATTGTTAATCTTATGAAAAATTGAGTCTTGGCTTCTTGGCCCTGTTGGCCTGTATTGACATGTTTCTGGACAGTTACCAGTTTTGTGGGTGAGAGTTTGTTCCCACCAAGATCAGAATTATTCCATGTGAGTTTTTCCTCTTTCTCGTTCCCTTGGGTCACTCTGGGGACAGCTAGTGGCCGCTCTGCAGGGCACCCCTTGCCCCATACCCTCAGGTGTTCTCAGAGTCCCTGGGCTCAGCTGTGGCTGGCCAGGGTACTCCAGTGGTCCTAGTTCTGGACTTTTCGCCTGGGATTTCTTCCCTGGCTCTGAGTAAAGAGGAAGGTATTCCCCCTGATACTTTGCCCACTGAGAGTCCCTGGGGCTCCCCAGCTACATTTGTTTTTTTCCCAGGGAATTTTACTTGGCAGTAGCTCCCATGTTGAAGTTCAGCCTCAACCCAAATGACTACATACACACAAATGCTGCTGAGAAATTCACTGACGGTGCGAGGAAGATGTGAACAGGAGCCTTGCCTTATTGTGTGCGTTCAGTTAGCCATTCTACTTCTTTTTTGGAAACATGGAGAACACAGTTGAGTTTGGCAGCGCTTTGAGAACATGGAGTCCTGTGTGATGCTGGTCCTGAGGGCTCGCTTAGATTACACACCCTGCTGGACCACAGTTGGACAGTTGCTGGGCTGGGCTGCAGGAGCAGAGACACTGCATTGCAATAGAATCCCAGTGGCACCCAGAAACCATTACCATTCTTCAGGCTTCTCTCTGGAGAGCTTGCTACCAAGGTGGGTTGGGAAACTGGGAAGCTTCAGACCAGCTTCCCATGTGTTTCTGACTTGTGGCCAGGTTTAAGATCTCAGAAGCAATACCTCTCTGTGCTCTTTCCATCTGCTGAGCTTCCATCAAGAACACTTAGTCAAGAGAAAATAGACAGTTTTGCATCTGTTTTCCTCTCTTAAAGGACTTCAGTAGATAAGGATTTGTATGTGTGTGTGTGTGTGTGTGTGCGCGCGTGCGCACGCGCTGTATATGTACAACCAGTACTGGGCCTTGAATTCAGGACTTCTTGTAAGACTAGTGGTCTGCCATTTGAGCAATACCTCAATGCCCAACTTTTTGTGGTTAATTAGAGATAAGATTCTTAGAGACTTTTCTGCTCAGGCTGGCTTCGAACCTGGATCTTCAGATCTCAGCCTCCTGGACTAACTAGGATTACAGGTGTGAGCCAGCAGTGGTTGGCTATTCTTTTACATTTTTTGTGCGCTTGTCCATAGTAGGGCTTGAACTCAGGGCCTTCTCGCTTAGCTTTTTCGCTCAAGGCTGGTACTCTTACCACTTGGGGAACATCTCCACTTCTGTTTTTTTTTTTTTTTTCTGATTAATTGGAGATGAGTCTTAGAGACTTTTCTGTCCAGGTTGGCTTTGAACCATGATCCTTAGATCTTAGCCTGAATAAGTAGAATTAGAGGCTTGATCCACCAGTGTCTGGCTATTTTGGTGTAATCATGGACATTTTCAAACAGAGATGGAGTGGATCGGAAAGTAGGGATCTTCACTCTCCACGCTGTACTCGCTCACATCCAAGTTCCCTCATTAATGAGGGTTTTGTCTCGCCTCAGCCTCCTTCATTCTGTGTTGTTGTGACTGGTGCTGACTTGTGTTGGAGCAATTCGTTGCACTTCTGTCATTTTATTTCAACATACCTGACTGCGCATGGGAATCCTCAGTAATTTCTGACCTTCCCCACCTTGCCTGCGTCCCTCTGGCAACTCTAGTTAAATTCTTTGGTGCCATCTGATAGCGGGAATTCAGGTATCCCAGATTTGTTTACAACAAATTTGTTTCCATTGTCGTGATGTTTGGCCCCTCCCTGCCACAGCCCTTCTTATTAACGAATCCCATCATTTCCCCTTCTTTACATTCTGTCTTCTAAGATGGTCATTTAAATACAGTGCTCCCCTGGGAATGTGGCCTACAGATGGTCTCACTGTCCACTGGGAGTGTGGAAGTTGACTTCCAGGGCTTCCTAGGGGGTCAGTTGTTCCTTTCGTTGTTGTTGTTGTTTTGGTTGGTTATGGGACTTGAACTTAGGGCTCTGTTCCTGAGCTTTTCTGCTCAAGGCTAGTGCTCAACCACTTTGAGCCACAGCCCCATTTTCTGGTGGTTAAATTGGAGAGAAGAGTCTCACAGGAACTTTGCTGATTTACCGAGCTGGCCTGGAGTGAGCCACCGGCTCCTGGCTCAGCTGTTTCTCTCTCTGCTAGCATCCACATTGGTCTTTCAGCTTCTGGTGTCATTAATGGATAGTCTTTGCCCTGGATCAATGAAGATGAGGTTTAAAGCCTGGGGTGGTGTTACTTTGTCTCCTAAGTTCACGTCTTAGTTGGGGCTGTAAGATGAGCAGACCCTGTGTTCTCTGGGAACTTGTGAGAAGGCAAGTAGTTGTTTGGATAACCGGACGACAATGTCTCAGGTATGTGTGTGTTTCTATTTCTGTTCTTTTTCTTCTACTTCTCCTCTTGGCTATTTTAACAAACGTTATTGTCATCAGAAGGTTTATAAAAAGAGCTCTGTACGAAAGTATGTTTATTATATCCAGGGATGAGTGCTCTGAATACAGTTTTAGTTTATAAAGGGGTAAGCGATGCTTGTCTGAAAGAAAGTTGAAAACAGGGCTCCTGTTTTGTTTTTGGT